ACTTCAGTATAAAAATATTCTACTGACTGAGCTCTCTATCTATAATCATTTATTCTGCCATGTCTAATATGATAATAAACCCATTTAATAGATACTATTTGTATATGCAGACATCTAACACCTTTATCTCTTAGTTACAGAACTACCCTCAAGCTTCCTTTGCTACCTTTTCTGCATACCTGGTATTTTCATCCCCCTGAGGTAAACCTTTAATGAAGAATTGACAAGCAGAGGGCTATAAGATGTAAACACTTCTGTTCTCTTACTTCTGATAGGAGTAGAATTTCCATGTGATCTACACTTTCTCTAGAATTCCCCTGAATTCTAGTTTTACTTACGGCCTTACCCTTGGAAAAGAAAAGCTTCCTTTTTTTTTTCCTGGTCCTACTTTCTCACTCTCAGGCCAATAGTTTTTCTGGAAATATCTTCTAATAAATCAGTTGCACACAAATCAGTTGCACTCATTTCAGTATCTGTTTCTTGGGAACCTGACCAAAAATGCATGAATATTGACTTCTAAATTTTAATTATTGATTTTATTCAGTACCAGATTTTCCCTTAGCATTTTTGTTTATATAATAAAATTCTCTGATAAAAGCATCAGTCTTGTTACCTATTTTCATTTAATTATTTTAAAACACATGCCTGAAGAATATTGTAACTAGTACACACACAAATCTCTTTCTATTACCATTTTTTTCTCTTTACTGTTTATATTAATAGATAATATTTTACTAATTTATGAACAATGCACATGAAATATTCTCACCTGTGAATGGCTCCACTATTTAAGATTTTATTCCTTCAAGTCCTAATTACCTGAGAAACATAGCCTTCTAATGTCTCCATAATAAACTTTTATCCAGCAATTCCAATTGCTGTTGGCAGGTGCTTAGATATGCCCCAAACTCCTTCAAAGCCAGAACAGGACATCTTATCCTATTATTCTTAATTTACTAAGAGTATTTTGCCAAAAGCAAAATTTGAATTTTATAAAGCAACTTTCTAGTATTTGGAAAGTTTCATTCTTTCTACTATTACGAACATACTTGAACAAGTGTTTCCTTGTATATCAATATTTTATATAAAGACATATATAATAAATTCCTTTGTTAAAGATGAATACATAAGGAAAATTTACCTATTTCTTTTGCCCCACATTATTTTTTTTTGTATAATCAGTAATTTATACCAACTTTGTTATTATTTAATATTATGATTAAAATTATTTCTTTGAACTATGCTTTATTTTCATGTGTTACTCTGTAATCAGATTTGCTGACCACAAATCAGCTTTATTTTCTATTAATAATAGTAAATTGACAACATGATTTCTCTCTACTCACAATATAGACCCTGCTAAAAGGATACTAAATGACCTAAACCAGTATTAACATAAAAAGACAATGAAAACTGGAGAAGCTAAAGTAAATTTGAGATATAAATATATTTAAGATGTCAAAAACCCAAAGGAGGAGCACTGACATGTTACTAAGTGCCTACAATGGGGAAATTATTGTAACATCTGACTGCATTAGTACTGTAGCATCTCCAGACTCACATAGGTACATGGAATATGGGACATAAAATAGAAGTTTTACACAAAAATATTTATATGCTGCTATTAAAACAGTAAACCTATTCCCTATACCTGTACATTGTTTAGTAGTCAACCCTCCCACAAAGACAAATTATTGTAATATTTCAGAAAAAAAGGATAAAGAACAACCTGGAAGTTCCACAGAAAAACAGCAAAGTGATAGGAGCCAGAAAGTAAACAATGTTCTTAATATCAAAATAAAATAGAGCAATATTTTCAAGATTCTAAGAAAAAAGGCGATTTTCAGCGTACAATTCTCCATTCAAAAAATTATACATAATAAGAGAAGATAGAATAATCTCAATCTTAGACTGCAATAATCCAAAAAATATACCTCTCAAAGACTCTTTGGAAGTTCCGAGGAGGTGTATTTAGCAAAGCAAGAGAGCAAAGCATACAGAAGGACATGGTGCTATAAACACAAATAACACAAAATCTCTCAGGACTACATTGTGAATTATGACAAGTAAATATCCAGCACAAATTCTAGGAAAAGATAAAAAAGCTGAAGAAGGAACGCCCTGTGATTAAAATAATGATAATGGAAATAATCATAATAAAGGAAAAGGAAAGAAATATGTATGTATATTAGGAAAATTTGTTAGGCTTCTGATAGATCTATTCAAGTCTTAGGGAAAAATATACTATCTCATAGAAAACTAAGATGTTAAATAATGAAATAATTCTTAATTCCATGAAAACAATATTTGTATGATAAAGAAAAAATAATCATCGTACACTACTTGGCTCAAGAAGGAATTAGATTTGCAGAATTATAATGTATAAATTAGTTAACCAAATAAAGAACAAATTTTGTATGTTAAATAATAAAATTTTTATGTTTAATTTAAAAATGTGGAATCATTCTCCTAGAAAGATAGGAGAAAATAAAAGACAGCTGATAGCTCTAATAAAAGAAAGCCAATACATAATATCTCAATTTCATAATTTAAGAAATAGAATTATAAGCATGTTACAGAGAAATGTGGATTAAAACACCAAAAGAAACAGCTTCAAGAATGGAAAGCAGCTATCTTCAAGAAAGGGACTATGAGGTTAGGAAACACTACTGCTTTTTATTATGAGTGTTCTGCAGTGATTTTTTTTTCATTTTATGCCCATGATAAGTTAATACAAATAAAATTAGTTGAAAATAATATGAATTTTATATTTAACAGGTGTCAATAATTATCAAAATTTTACTTTTAGAGGTTTGAAATTGTCTTGCCGCTCAATTACTGACTGCCTCAAGAACATTTTCAATAAGGCACATGATTTTTCTGCTGTCTGTATAATTTCATAACTGAGCAATCATCTCTGTGTCCTTGAGAAGTGGACAAATTCACCAAACAAACCTACATAAATTTTATTTTAAGGTTAATGTTTGAGAGAAGTTTGAAATCCAATTGGCTTTTGTAATCCATATGTAATGTTTTAGTTTTGGCTTGTTACCATATTTTAGCCTGAATGCTCCTCCCATCTTTTCAGTCCATAACATTCAGAAATGTGCCCTGTCTGTATCTAGGTACTGATTTCATTTCATTAGTTTTTCTTAACACACAGTGAGTTGTGGTGGGGTACAAGCTCAGGGCTAGCACTTGAATGCTACTCTTTCCTATTTTCTAAGCTCAGGTATATTTCTACATTATTTTAGCTTTTCATAGTGATCACAAATGAGGTGGCGAAAGGGCATAGATGTTTCTGAATTTGTCCATATCTTATCCATAAATATGGAAGTCTTTAATTTTCCTAAGTTAGTGCCAGTCTTTGCTAACTCTTAATCATCTAAAGGTTAAAGATATTTATAGAAAATATAGAGTTCCTAATTGCTAAGGTAAGACCTTCTTTACCGTGCTTTTGATTCCTTTCCTCCTTTTCTCCAGTTACCATTTACCTCCCTTATGTTTTACTGTCTCTCTCCTTCATCTTTTGCTCTGCCTTTCTGTATGAAAACATGCCCAGATAAGACATATTGCAGCATTGTGGCATGAAGTGTGTGTGCTGCTTAAAGAAAATCTACAGTGACTCTTTCTATAAACAGAATAATAGATTTGAAAGAAAATAAGTACTTCCTAATTTATCTTTCTGGTAAAATTAGAAAAATGCGTTTAATTAAACAAAGATATAAATCCATAAAATTATGTATATAGATATTGGTCATAATTTAAGACATCATGGAGAGCAAGTAGAACATTTGATAATAATGAGAAAACTATTATCATTTAAAAGTAAAAAAAGTTACCCAAGAAATGACAATTTTATAAGCTTAATTTTGGTATCAGAAAAATGCTAAAATAATGCAGTAAAAATCTTATTAATTCTTAACACATGGGACCAAAGAAGGAGGGGGAGAACCAGAATGCAATTAACTTTCATGAGATTATCTAAATTTTTAAATAAAATAACATAGCATCTAGGTATCTAGGGACTAGCAGTCCTTTTGCTTTCCTAAATAAAGTAATGTTGGATTAATAAGGTTTTCTGTTAACACAAAAGCTAAATTGTAAATTCATGGAAGAAAACGGCATGCTGGATAAAACCACATTTCAAAAAAAAAAAAATTATCCTAACAACTGTAGGAAATATGACTTTGTGACAGGCCTAAACCATTGTGAAATTCTGTACCAATTACCTAGATACAAAGCTAAAATGTTTTTTAAAAAACTTCAACGTCAAAAGTTTTCTAGAAACTAGCAATGATGACAATTAACTAAAAAATTTGCTGGGTATCTTATAATGACGTTTATTACAATTTTCTTGAGAAAAGCCATCACAAGAAGAAAATAATTGTGCTCGTTGAGTAACAAAGGCATGCCCCTAATAAGAACTGGAGAAGTGGCATATGTGGGAACTAAAAATTAAAACAATTGAATTCATGGGGAGAGTAAAATCATGATTGCCACAGGCTAGAAAGGGAAGCTGAGGTGGCAGGAGTGTGGGTGGTTAATGGGTTCAAAAATATGGTTAGATAGAAAAAATAAGATCTAGAATAAATAAGATGAGGGGATGACTACAGTTGACAGTAATTTACTGCATATTTTAATATAACTAAAAGAGTGGAATTGGAATGCTCCCAACACAAAGAAATTATAAATACTTAAAGTGATGGATTCCTTAATTATCCTGGTATGATTATTACATATTGAATATTGTATCTAAACATCACATATACCTCACCAATAAATATACCTGTTATATATTATAATAATTAAAAATAAAAATAAATATTTGGAGGATTGACACACAACAAAATCAGAAGAAACAAAAATGAGTTTGCCATAGCATGCTTGTTAATGGTTAATATATCATAGTCCCTTATTCTAAAAATCTTGTATAAGTACCTCACTGTGATATACCAAGAAATTACTGAGGTAATTTAGTTACCCTCATGAAAATATAGGGTGTGTTAAAACAAAATTATAGGTAGTAGCCAAAAACTAGTACTAAAATGTATTTTATATGGCTAAAATATCAATAATACATTGGAACCATAAGTCTATACTAAGTTAATAAAAATTGAAAAATTAGAATTGGGGCCAATATAAAAATACTAATTCCTCGAAATGTATAAGGACATTCACAAATAGTTTTGACATTAAAAATTTGAGAGCTGTAGATTAAAATAAAAATGTAACAAACTTGTAACTTTGCCAGCAGAATAAAATATAGAATCTCTTTTTCAACATTCTATATAAGCTAAAAAAAACACAAATTATAGCTCTAACATTACTGCCTGGGACAGTAGCCATTAATCATATGTGGCTATTGAATAATTAAATTGTGAATAGTCCATATTGAATGTGTTGAGGCTATAAAATACAACCCGGATTACAAAGGCTTTGTACAAAAAAAATATAATATACCTTATTGAAAATTTCTAAACTATACATTGAAATGAAAATATTTTGGATATGTTAAGTAAAATATATTATTAAAATTAACTTCACCAGTTTCACTCTTACTGTGTGATCCAATGATCATATTTCTAAGGATTTAGCTAACTGAATTGCAAATCTGTGTCTATGCAAGAACTTCCTCACAAATGTTAACAGAAACCTCTTCATAATTGTTAAAACGTGAAAGCAATCAAGATCAGTTTTCACTGTAAGAAGAACTTGAGATTTGGGAGACGAGGGGAAAAAATGATATGGTTTGAATGTTCCCCCTCCACATTTCATGTCAAAATTTAATCCCCAATGTTGGAGGTGGGGCCTGGTGAGAGGTGTGTGAGTCATGGGGGTGGACCCCGCATGAATGGTGTGGTATCCTCTTCACAGTAATGACTGGGTTCTTTCTCTGAGTTCACACAAGATCTGATTGTTTAAAAAAAGTAAGGCACCACCTCCCCGCCTCTCTCTTGCTCTTGCACTTGCCATGTGTTACACTGGTTTCCCCTTTGCCTTTTGCCATAAATGGAAGCTTCCTGAGGCTTTTACTAGGAGTAGGTGTCATACCATGCTTTCTTTATAGCCTCCAGAGCCATGAGCCAAAATGAAATGACACCCTGTACAATTCCAATTTTATAACATTCTGGAAAAGACAAAATCATAAAGCCATGAAATAGGTTACTTATTACTAGATGTTAGGGGAATGTGTTGTATAACTGAAGCCTTTTTTTTTTAAAGGAGTAAAACTATTCTACATGTTAGTATAAGAGTTGATACATGACATTATACTACGTAAAAACCCCACATAACTTTATAACACAAAAGAATGAGCCCTAACAGTAATTACTTAAAAGGTCAGGGAATCCCATCACAGAATGCAGACTGACAAAGGCATCCAAATGTATTAAAAATATAGGAAACAATCTCATGGAAGGAGTTGGGGGAAAATGAGTGTTTACTAAATATAACTCCAGTAATGACTGGATTCTGTCAACTAAAGTTTTAAAAAAATAACTGTTTATAAGCATTGTACTCTTGTCTATAAAGTTGATTTCCTTGGATTAACAGGTTTGTTATTAAACTCCCAACACTAGTGAAAATATGAAGAGAAGTAAGAGGAGGAAGCTAGAATTAACCATGTGATAATTTAGAAAGTTGGAGACAATGGTATGAAATAATACAGATGAAGATGATTTTATACAGAAGGATTCATGAATATGTATATTTAAATGTGCTAGTATACCCACATATAGCTCCTTGTTCTGTAAGCTGAACGAGCTGAGAAGTAATAACATGCAAATAGCAATGAGCACACCTCGTATCCAGATCTCGATTTCTAATACCATTCTACGATAAAGGACAACAGGGCTCACTGGAGAAATGGCTAATCCTATAACTGGGGCAGGATATATATAAAATGAAGCTTGAGCACCTCATTGTGCCAAAAAGTAGGGGAAGGCTGAGACAAATAAATAAGACCCACTCCTTTGCTGTATTTTAAAAGGACAAAAGCTAACTACAAGGGCTTCCAGTGGCCAAACAAAAGGCAATGTGAGCAACAAAATAAATAAAATAATATCTGATTATAATTCAAAGTATAAAACAAATATGCATGAGCTTAAACAATATAAATACACGATTGAGTACATCATTTACAAATGGGAGAGAAGAGACAAACTTCTCGTGCAAAAAGAAATTCAAATAATTTATGCAGATCCTCTGCTCCCAAGGAAGTGGAGCCTATCCCTCACTCCAAGAATGAGCTATGCTAAATGTTTTTCTTCCAAAAATTACAGTGTATAAATGGGGGGAAAGTAGTTTTGCAGTAGAAACATCTGTGAAAAAACTGCCTTGGACAGGTGATTAAGGTCAATATAAACTGTGATAAGTCAGGTTGACAGTGTGTATCCTGATATGATATCATAAAAATGGTACTTTCCCTCTATGACATTCCTCCAAAATATACATTAACACAGTCAATCATTATACAAACATCAGACAAATCCCAATAGAGAGACATTCTATACCTGTCTAGTGGCCTTCAAAATAGTCAAGGTCATGAAAAACAAAGACAATCTAAGAAACCATCACAGCCAAGAGAAGTTTAAGGAGAAACGACAACTAAATGAAATGTGGTTTCCTGGATGGAATCCTGGAAAAGAAAAAAGACAATAGATAAAAATGAAGAAAATCTGAATAAACTAAGGATCATCATTAGTGATAACTTCTCAGTTTGTGTTCATTAATGGTAACAAATATACCATATTGATAAGAGAAGAAAGTGGGTGCAGGGTATAAAAGCACTCTCCATTCCACCTTTGCAATTTTTCTGTAAATCTAAAAGTGTTCTGAACAATAAAGTTTATTTTTCCTAAAAAGAATGAGAACAATGAACATATATTGTATGGAGTCATCTTCAGAGAAACACTAGTTATGAAGCAAGGTGTAGAAGAGTGTGCATAGTATATACCTTTAATGAGAAAAAAGGTAAGGAAAATAATATATATACATGCATATATGTGGGTGTATGTATACACTTGTTCATAAAGAAATAATGAGATGAGAAACCAAGAACTAGTAAAAAAGGCAGCCTATAGCGAAAAGACAGAATGAGAGAGAGTTTGGTGGCAATTATCAAAGGTATACTTCCCTTAATATATCTTGTTTTATATATTTAACTTTGCAACTACATAATTACAATACATAATTTAAAAGGAAATTTTTTTAAAAGCAAAGCAATTCCTAAAATTAATGTAAGCTATAAGAAATTAGCCTAATTATGTATCAAATTATTGGCATAACCTTACAAAAATTATTTCATGGGACAAATTTTGAAAAACACAGTATTTGGGCCCAACTTCCCTAGTGGGAATTATTCTAAAAACAAAATAACCACAAAGATACCTACAGTGTATTTATTTATCTCATTCAGAATAGTCATATGGGTATTATTTTGAAACTAAGAGAGAGTTAAACTATAAGATTTTAAAAAATATTTTGTCGATACTACCAAACACGATGACATTTGAATAGTTGAAAGGCAGAAGTCTCTGTTACTTATTGGACCAAAAGAGAGAACTCTCTATGCAGTGCCACAGAGGGAGCTCCTGTCTGTATGTAGTTCTGACCACTCAGGGACCTGCTAGGAGATATACCAGTCCATGTCCCCAGAGACAGACTTGTAAATTTTGGTCCAGTCTTAGATCTTAAAGAATTCCTGCAGCCCAGCTTTTGACCATCCTATCTGTGGTCCAAGAGAAATTCTGCCCTCAGAGAGACTCATCAGGAGACATGTCTGTCTGTGCTGCCAGGCTGAGACCTGCAGAACTTGATCCAACCGCAGATTTTAAAGAGGTTCTCTTATCTGGTTCTAGCTACTCTGTGTCATGGCCCCAAAGTAGTCCTGTCTTCCTGGGAAGCCATCAGGGGCCACACCCATTTGTGTCCCAGGGGGCAGACCCACCAACCACAGTCAGACTGTGGGTCTTCAAGTGGCCCTGTCACCTAGATACAGGTATTTTCAGTTATGGTTCTGGAACAGTTCAGCCTACACAGGGTCCCAGAAGGAAGCATGCACGTCTGCGCCATCTGAGGCAGCTTTGAAACTCATTCTCAGCCTAGTTTTGCTTCCTTGCTGGTGAGCTATGATCCTTTGGAGGAAAAAAGGTGTTTTGGAACTTTCAGCCTTTTTGTGCTGGTTTTTCCTCATCTTCATGGATTTATTTATTTATATTTATTTATTTGAGATGGAGCTTTGCTCTTGTTGTCCAGGCTGGAGTGTAATGGCACAATCTTGGCTCACCGCAACCTCTGCCTCCAGGGTTCAAGCGATCGTCCTGCCTTGACATGTAAGACGTGTCTGTTGACCCCTGCTGGAAGGTGTCTCCCATTCCAGAGGCATGGGGGTCAGGAACCCACATGATGAAGCAGTCTGTCCCTTAGTAGAGCTTGAGTGCTGTGCTGAAAAATGTGCTGCTCTCCTCAGGGCTGGCAGGCACGAACATTTATATCTGCTGAAGCTGTGCCCACAGCTTCCGCTTCCCCTAGGTGCTCTGTCTCAAGGAGATGGAAGTGTTGCCTATAGGTCCATGAAAGGGGCTGCTGCCTTTCTTTCAGGGATGCCCTACCCAGAGAGGAGGAATATAGAGAGGCAGTCTGGCTACAATGGCTTTGCTGAGGTGCAGTGGGCTCTGTCTAGTTCAAACCTCCCAAGCGCTTTGATTAAACTGTGAGGAGAAAACCACCTACTCAAGCTTCAGTAATGGCAGGAGCCCCTCCCCCTACCAAGCTCAAGTGTCCCAAGTTGGCTTTAGAATTCTGTGCTGGCAGCAAGAATTTCAAGCCAGTGGATCTTAGCTTGTTGTGCTCCATATCTGGCCAGGGCAATCAGGAAAAAGAAAGAAATAAAAGGTATTCAAAAAGGAAAAGAGGTTAAATTGTTTGCTGATAACGTATTGTATACATAGAAGACGCCATCTTCTCAGCCCCAAATCTCCTTAAGCTAATAAGCAACTTCAGCAAAATCTCAGGATACAAAATTAATGTGATTACAAGCATTCCTATACGCCAATAATAGACAAACAGAGAGGCAAATCATGAGTGAACTCCCATTCACAATTGCTACAAACAGAATAAAATACCTAGGAATATAGCTAACAAGAAATGTGAAGGACCTCTTCTAGGAGAACTACAAACCACTGCTCAAGGAATTAAGAGAGGACACAAACAAATGGAAAAACATTCCATGCACAGGAATAGGAAGAATCAATGTCGTGAAAATGGCCATACAGCCCAAAGTAATTTATAGATTCAAAGCTATCCCTATCAAGTTACCATTGACTTTCTTCACAGAATTAGAAAAAAATCTACTTTAAATTTCATATGGAACCAAAAAGAAGATCATATAACCGAGAAAATCCTAAGCAAAAAGAACAAAGCTGGAGGCATCACTCTACCTGATTTCAAACTATACTACAAGGCTACAATAATCAAAATAGCATGATACTGGTGCCTATACAGATATATAGACCAACGGAACAGAACAGAGGCCTCAGAAATAATGCCACATATCTACAACCAGCTGATCTTTGATAAACCTGACAAAAACAAGCAACAGGGAAAGGATTCCCTATTTAATAAATGGTGTTGGAAAAACTGGCTAGCCATATGCAGAAAACAGAAACTGGACCACTTCGCTACACCTTATACAAAAATTAACTCAAGATGAATTAAAGACTTAAGTGTAAGACCTATGACCGTAAAAGCCCTAGAAGAAAACCTAGGCAATACAATTCAAGACATAGGCATGGGCAAAGACTTCATGACTAAAACACCAAAAGCAATGTCAACAAAAGCCAAAATTGAAAAATAGGATCTATTTAAACTAAAGAGCTTCTGCACAGGAAAAGAAACTATCATCAGAGTCAACAGGCAACCTACATAATAGGAGAAAATTTTTGCAAGCTATCAACTGACAAAGGGCTAACATCCAGAATCAACAAGAAACTTAAACAAATTTATAAAACAACCCCTCACTAAGAGGTAGAAGGATATAAACAGACATTTCTCAAAGGAAGACATTTATGAGGCCAAAAAACATGAAAAAACGGTCATTATCCATAGTAATTAGAAAAATGCAAATCAAAACCACAATGAGATACCATCTCATGCCAGTTAAAATGGTGATCATTAAAAAGTCAAGACATAACAGATGCTGGAGAGGATGTGGAGAAATAGGAATGTTTTTACAGTGTTGATAGGAGTGTAAATTAGTTCAACCATTGTGGAAGACAGTATGGCGATTCCTCAAGAATCTAGAACCAGAAATACCATTTGACCCAGCAATCTCATTACTAGGTATATACCCAAAAGATTATAAATTATTCTACTATAAAGACACATGCACACATATGATTATTGCAGTACTATTTACAATATCAAAGACTTGGAACCAAGTGTTTGGGCACATCAATGATAGACTGGATAAAAAATATGTGGCACATATACACCATGGAATACTATGCAGCCATTAAAAAAGATGAGTTTATGTTTTTTGCAGGGACATGGATGAAGCTAGAAACCATCATTTTCAGCAAACTAACACAAGAATAGAAAACAAAACATTGCATATTCTCACTTATAAGTTGGAGTTGAACAATGAGAACAGATGGGCACAGGGAGGGGAACATCACATACTGGGAACTATCAGTGGGTGGGCACTAGGGGAGGGATAGCATTAAGAGAAATATCTAATGTAGATGATGGGATGATGAGTGCAGCAAGCAACCATGGCACATGTATGCCTGTGTAACAAACTTGCACGTCTGCCCATGTATCCCAGAACTTAAACTATAAAAAAAAGAAATAAAAAACAGAACAGAAATCCTGGTGCTGTAGAATACAGTGATGGAACTGAAATTTTAATAGGGAGCTTCAAAAGCAGACCCAATCATGCAGAAGAAAGAATCAGTAAACTCAAAGACAGTGTATTTGAAATTAGCCAGTTCAAGGAACAAAAGCAGGGAAAAATAATGAAAATAATGAAGATAGTACACTGAACCTATCAGACACCATTAAGGAAACCAAGCTATTTGTTATGGTAATCCCAAAAGGAGAAGGTAGAGATCAAAAGTTCACTAAGAGAAATAATTGCTGAAACGTTCCCAAATCTTGGGGAAGATATGGACATCCAAATTCATGGAGCTCAAAAACTCCCAAGCAATTTTAACCCAAAGAAGTTTATCTGGGTACACTTTATAATCAAATTGTCAAAAATCAAATACAGGGAGAATTTTGTAAACAACAAGAGAAAAATGACTTGCTACATACAAGGGAACTTTTATATGACTGTTAGTAAATTTCTGAGAAGAAATCTTGCAAGTTCCAGGGAGTAGAATGATATACTCAAAGTGATTAAAAAAAAAAAAAAGAAAGAAAAGAAAAGAAAAATCTGTTAACCAAGTATGCTATACACAGCAAATCTCTTCTTCAGAAATGAAGAAGAGACAGTGTCATTCAGAGAAAAACAAAAGCTGAAAGTTCATCAGTAAACATGACTAGACAATACCTAATAACATGAAAACATATAAAAGTAGAAAAGTCTCTGATAAAGGTAAATATACTTAAATTGGCAATATTTTATTACTGCAGTAGTGGTGCATAGTTCACTTTTACTTCTAGTACAAAAGTTAAAAGACAAAAGTATGAAAACTAACTATAGTTACAATGATTTATTAATGGATTGATATAACAATATATAACATATGACGATAGTATAAAATGCTATGTATGTGTGGATGAAAAGAAGTATAAGCATAGTTTTTATATGTGATTTAATTTCAGTTGTAAATGTGAAATATACTTTTACAACTGTAAGCTATTATATATAAGTGTTATGGTGACCACAAAGAAAAAAGCATTGGTATATATAAAGAAGATAAAATGATGTCAAATCATTCTATTATTAAAAAAAAAAAAACACATAAAACAGAATCACAAAAAAACTACAAAAAGTTGGAAAACAATGAAAAATGGCAATAGTAAATTCTTATATAGCACTAATTATTTGAATTTAAATGGATTAAATATTTTAGTCAAAATAGACAGTGTGTTTATATGGATGAAAATAAAAAACACAAAATCCAACAATATCGTGCCTTCAAGAGAATCACTTTAAGAACACACAAAGGCTGAAAGTGAAGGGATGGAAAAAAGATATTCCAAGCAAATTACACCCAAATGAGAGCAGGATTGGCTATATTTATGTCACACAAAATAAAGTTTCAGTGAAAGTCTGTCACAAGAGACAAAGAATATTACAGTAAAATGACAAAGGTATCAAGGGGATCAAGAGGATATGACACTTATAAATATATATGCATGCAATATAAGGGCACCTAAAATACAAAGCAAATATTAACAAAATTGAAGAGAAAAATTGATGGTAGTATAATAACAATTGAAGACTTTCTTATTCTACTTTCAACAGACTTTCAAGACAAAAAATCAGAAAGTAAAGACTGGACTTGAACTACAGTTTATACCAAATGCACCTAACCCAGACATATACAAAACAATATAGTCAACAACAGCAGAATACACGTTATTCTTAAGACTACATGGAATATTTTCCAAATAGATCATATATTGGGTCACAAAATATGTCAACTAATTCAAGAAGATTGAAATTACATCAAGTATATTTTTCTGAGCACAATGGTATGAAACTAAAACCATTAATAGGAGAAAAATTGGAAAAGTCATAAATATGTGGAAATTAAACAACGCTTTCCTGAACAAACAACAGGTCAAAGATGAACTGAAAAGAAAAATAAAAAATATCTTAAGACTAATGAAAATGAAAATACAACATACCAAAACAGAAATGCAGCAAAAATAGTTCTGAAAGGTAAGTTTACATAAATAAATGCTTACATTATGAAAAAAGAGCCAGGCGTGGTGGTTCAGGCCTGTAGTCCCAGCACTTTGGGAGGCCAAGGTGGGTGGATCAGGAGGTCAAAAGATTGAGACCATCTTGACGAACATAGTGAAACCCTGAAACCTGTCTCTACTAAAAATACAAAAATTAGCTAGGTGTGGTGGCATGTGCCTGTAGACCTAGCTATTCTGGAGGCTGAGTCATGAGAATCGCATGAACCCAGGAGGTCGAGGTTGCAGTGAACTGAGATTGCCCCACTACACTCCCGCCTGAAGACAGAGATAGACTCTGTCAAAAAACAAAGAAAGAAAGAAAAAAAGAAAGACCCCAAATAAACAGTCTAAATTTTACACATCAATAAACTATAAAAAGAAAAAAAACAAAGCCCAAATTTAGCAGGAAGAAAAAAAATGTTTAAATAAGAACAGAAATAAATACAAGAGAGATCAGATATTTAACATTAAACCTAATCATAATGAAAATTGTTTTCCTAAAAGTAGAACAAAATTGATAATTGGTTTTCAAAAAGGAAACAAAAACAAAACCTTTAGTAGGAAGAAGAAAATAATAAAAATAAGAGCAGAAATAAATAGAGATTATAAATTTAATATAAAATATAAACATAATGATAATTGCTTTTCAAAAAGGAAAACACAGATTGAAAGAGGAAAAAATAAAGAATTCAAGAAAATAAAATTATGAATAAAAGGGATATTCAACTGAGACTGCAGATACATAGGCATACAGAGGAATATAAGAGACTGCTATGCACAGTTACACACCAACAACTTGGATATACTAGAAGAAATAGATAAATATGGAAATAAAAAGCTTTCCAAGACTGAATCATGAAGAAACAGAAAT